AAAGGCGCGGGCCGCGGGCGCGGAGCCGCCGGCGCTGCCTGCAGAGGTGTCGGGGCCGCGTTCCTGAGCACGGGAGATGCTGCCCATCGGGAAGAGCGCGAAGCAACAGGGCAAGCGGGTAACTTAACACCCCTGCTCCCCGTCCCTGCCCGGGCCCCGGGGGCGGCGCGGCGCGGCGCGGGGAGGCAGCCCCGGCAGCCCCGGCAGCGGGGCCGGGCGGCGGCAGAGCCGCGTGTCCCTGTCAGAGCCGGGCGGCAGCAGGTGGGGAGGGCTCCGCAGGCTCCGGGCCCTCCAGCTGATCGGCTGTAAGTGAAGGAGGGCTGAGGTGCTCGGTCTGCTTCTAACTTCCGGCACATGCCCCTGCCACCTAATTTTGGACACACTGCAGAGGAGTGTAACTGCCCTATGCCCACGCTACGGGGAATGGGCAGACAGAAGTGTCTCTTGATGGAGCCGGATAGCGCTTTGGGGACAGAATTTCCCCTCTGCTGGTAGAAAGACAGGGTTTAGGTAGATCAACCAGGATTTATGTAGATAAAGCACTTTTCACTAACCTGGTTCAGTTAGATTCCTGAGGCTGAATGGGAGGATCACATCTACAGCCCTCTGCACTCTCTTCATGGAAAGATGAGTGGACTATACGGTACAGGGAAGCAGGAAAGAAAAAGCAGCCTTGGTTAGCTTCTTAAAGATACTGTTTCTTGTTATTTAGTACCAGATATGAGCACTACTGGATTACCCAACAGTACAAATTTGGTCCAGATTGGGCATAAACACAGTTGTTATTTTTGCTGAACAGAATAAAACAATATCAATGCTGAATTTATGCTGGCTATGTTCTTGTTAAACTAGTCATAGTTTATCCACTGTAGATAAAGTTTACATTATCTACATATAGATGAAGAGATGATATAAAACCTGTCGAAGTTTGCTAAGATGTTATGTCCATTTTGAATGAATCTGAACTGACAAAATAAGTTTGTATTAAGTACTTTGTGCTGTATGGTCCTGTCACCCTTGATCTGCTATTAGATACTCCGAGGCTAGATTTAATTTAATGCACGTTGTATATTAATACACCGTGTTATATTATTCATGGCTTCTGTTGCTTCTGTGTGTCAAAAGTGAACATTATTTCAGACAGTTTTTTTAAAATGCTACAATTGTGAAGGAACGCTGCTCTAATATCCTAGAAGTGATTGGTTAGAAGGAAAAAACTCTTAACTGCAGTGTATTTAAATGTAATGTCCATATATGGTGTCGTCATGTACGTATTACTTAATCTTCCGTTTCAAGCAGCCGCTGAGCCGCTTATACATTCAACATTTTCTCCCTCTGCATTCCTGTTCTCTTGACATAAAACTTCTGAATCAGGTGCTCTCAGTAAAAGGTTCCAGGGCAGAAAAACAAGCAGCGACTGAATGATCCCTGCAGTCCCTTAGGTGGCTTTTTCAGGCCCCATTTGAGGCAGTCTGTTGCAACTGCAAATTGGCTAACAGCAAACATGATCTTTACAAAGCTTCATGCCTGTTACACTTGCAACTAAGTCCTCCTCACAGACATGTATGAGTGGGAGAGTCGCTGCACTTTTGTACGGCGAGTTTTACCCCAGTCCTGCTGGAATCAAGATAAAAGCTTGCGTCCCCCCTCAAAGCTGTGACGTTGATAAGGTCAATATGTTGGCAAGCCCTCAATGTGCAGTGGAACGTGATGCAGAGATCTGCAAACAGCCACTTGCCTGAGCTCATGTATCCCCTGTGCAGAGCAGATACCCGTAACCCTGCTGCTGCGTCAACAGCTGGGCCAAGCGCCGCGAGCCAGCCAGCCGGGCTGGGGGGCTCCGAGCGCCCTGAGAGGCAGCTCGTGCTGTGGGAGTGGGCGCAGGAGGCTCGGAGCTCTTCCTGGTGGGAAGCTGTGCTCATATGTGTCCCAAAGCGCTCTGCCAGGAGGCAGTAAGGTCTGCCCTTCCTGGTGGAGTGAATTCATGAAGCAGGAATGATGAAGAAGCTTGATTTGTTAAAGGTTGGAGGGTAAATATTAGGAAAAACCTTCTGCTCAGTACACAAACCCTACTCAGCCGTACGTCCTAAAAGCCTTAACGCTTCTATTTCCAACTCCTTCCAAAGCTCATTCACTGCTCCCTGAAGCAGTCAACACTAGTGTGCAATCAGAAGAGATACCTATGGAGGGTAATTTCAATCTTACATTTGATACATATATTTTTTTCTGTACCCACTACCTTTGCTGATGTATTAAGTCTGCATTCATCCCACTTTGAAAGGCAAATGGGATTATAGTTATGATCTAATTGCAGAATTTAGCACCTAGAGATGCTCTGTAATAACAAGGTACTTTGTGGAAGATTTGAAGCAGCCAATGAAGCAATGAAAGGAATAAAACAGAAGTATCTTTTAGGTCCAGTAAATATATATGTTTTACATTTTTACAAAAAAATTGCAAGGCAGATGCATAATTAATCATAGGATGCTGGAATATTTGTAATTTGGCATCTTGAAATGTTTCTGGGGTGTACAAAGCAAGTAGGATTTTCCTTCATATTGTAAGTCTAGGTAAGCAAACCCAGACTGGTGAAAAGAGCCTGTCAGAAAACAAAAGCCAGGATCACAGCATTTTGAAAGGTATCTTATTTGCTAAGAACACGTTACATGTATGTTTTTTATGTCTGCTGTGCCATCATGTGTTATAGGCTCCTTGTGCTGAGGCTCTGTAGATATGACATCTGTGGCTAAAGAACAGATGTGTCCCTAAGAAATTGGTCAGTAATATTAGTGTTTCATTTAAAATAAAGTCACATTCTTTTACAGGACAGGTTGGGACTGTGCCATTTACTTCCACAGGAGTGGAACTGGACCATTGCTCCCCAGTTTGGGGGACTATACATCTGAAACAAAATCTTAGTGAAAAGTCTGTGTAATACACATGCATATATTAAAGCGTTACGTTCCTGTAAAACAAATCACTTACCACTCTCTTAAAGAGAACTTCAAGGAAAAAACAGACAGGCACAGGAAGCTGACAAAGCTGAAGAACTGTAATTATTGACTTTTTTTTTCCCCATTTTCTTCAGGGTATTCTAGAGCGCTTAGATGCTGGAGAAATTGTGATCGGAGATGGAGGATTTGTCTTTGCCCTTGAAAAGAGGGGATATGTAAAAGCTGGACCTTGGACCCCTGAGGCAGCTGTGGAACATCCAGAAGCAGGTCAGTCTTACTGGAGAAAGGATACACAAATTTGTCTTAAGTGATTAGTTGTCATAGGTTAGACGCCGGCCATTAGTAATTGCTATTGATGTGATAGCAGCTATTTATAGAACATACCGTGCATGTCTGTAATATGCTGATAACATTTTATAACCTCTTTATAAACTATTTATACATATACTCTTAACTGGAAATTTATTCATTTCTTTTAGGGCAGTGTGCGGCCTCCCCTCCCCTCCATTGCTGCTCGTCGCTCCTGCATTCTCTAGGGTCATGTTACTTCGAAGGCAGGTGTGAAGAGCAGCAAGAGCAACTGGCTGGGCCAGCTGCTATGAAAGCTCCAAGCCCTTCTTTAGTTTGCAAGGAGAGAGGGAAAGGGAGGGAAGTTTTCAGAATGCAGCATGGAATGGAAAAAAAGAGAAGGCCCATATGTCCGTTATGTGACAGGGGAAGTTTGTCATGACTGACAAGTTCAGAAATGAGATCTAAATACTTGTTTTGAGCAGGAACAGGAATCTTGGCTACTGCTTTGTACTGAGCACTAAGTATATGCACTTGAGGCCCCTCTCCTGCTCATTTAAGTTCATATCTTGTGTGATGTGTCCACGAGATGGTATGGCAGATTGAAATAAGAACTCAATGTGGTATGTCTGATTCCTAAGATGCATCAAACTGCTATTAACTTTTTATGTAGATGTTGTCCCTGCTTCTCAGATACTGGAGGAAAAGAGAGCTTAAGGAACGTGCCAGAAGTCACACAAGATGTAAATGACAGGGTGCTTTGGACAGTTGTAGACTGAAATTTGGCCCTGAAAGTTCAGGCAGATTCCAAGGCCTTTCTGTAACAGTTCTGCTACAACAGCAGTTCCTGGCTAAGTCTTTTTGATTGCTGGCATAAGAAGCGTTATATTAGCTCAGTGTGGTTGCTCAAGGCTGTTATTAGGAATGAAATGCTACAGTAGCAGAGAAAAACCAAAGAACACTAGTTCCTCACTGAAAGCAGAGTTACTCATGAATATGAGATTGACTCTAGCAACTCCCCTTTGAGCTCTCCTGGTGTATAAGGCTGTTTGTTGTAGCTGAAGGCAGTAATTTTATTCTCATGGAGCATTCACATGTTTGCCTAATGACACAGCTTGTCTGCAAACAATGGGGCTTGTAAATCAAGAGTTCAAGAAAACATCCCCAAATGTCTGCCCTAGAAATTGCAGTGTTCTCATGTCTCTATACGATATATTGGGGATACATTATCTATGTATTTGCTCTAAGATTTATTTGACCTTTTTAACCCTGTTTGATCAACAATAACCTAGAATCGATAATAATTACTGTTTCGTGGGGGTACGTAGAATCAATTGACAGTTCCTGTTCTGCTACTGTTACGGCAATTGCAGTGTACTGCTCACAAAGCAACAAAGTTTGAACTGTTTCTAGAGAGTTTGTTCCCAAAGTCCTGATACAGGAAACACATCCACTAAAAGTGGTACCAGCCTTTCCTTCAAAAGAAAGGCTTAGGCTCCATAGTAAAATCATCATTTATATCTTTAAGGGAAGAACAAAGTCAGTATTGGGATTCGGTTTTCCAGGACAAGCAGCCATCTTTCAGTTATGGATATTCTTACCAAAATGGAGTTCTGATCTTCGCCAAGGCTGAGCTGTGTAGAAGGATATTAGTAGAATAGTGGAGATAATGGAATGCAATAATATTCTTCTCTATAAATACCATCTTGTCCCTTTGTTTCCAAGATGCTGTTTTTTCTTCATACAGAAGCTAAGAAGGTGCATGGCTTTTCCTTTCATAGGCTGGTCCTCCTATCTGCTGTCCCTCATCATATTTCACTTTACCAATTATCTGCTTTCCCTCACAAACTATTATACAGTTCTCTAAAGTGAAATTGGGAGGTCTGAGGGACTGCAGAAAGTAGAAGAGTGGCAGACAAAACTGGATTTACTGATGAATAGAAAGAAATCTTTAGTCATTTTTAGCAGAGAATAACTAAGGAGAAAGCTTCTACTTCTTGTTCTAAGAAGGAGAAGCATGTAGTACTGCTCCTACACATATCACAAATGGTTTTTCCAGTAAATACAGTATTACTTACAGTACTGTTATTTCCTGAACAAAAATAAAATAGTATAGAATAAGAGTCAATGAAGACTAAATTTGGGGATAACAATAACTATCTATTACTTCCTTTAATTCTTTGCAGTTCGTCAGCTTCATCGGGAGTTCCTCCGAGCTGGATCAAATGTTCTGCAGACATTCACCTTTTACGCTAGTGAGGACAAACTAGAGAACAGGGGAAATTATGTAGCTGAGAAGATAACTGTGAGTAAAATACTATTTTAATGGAGCTTTGAAAATAGTGGATTAATTTGAAAAGGTTTACTAGAGAGACTACTGAGTATTTTCACATCTTCTGTTTTTCTTTAACAGCAAAGAATGAGATGATATGTTTCCATAGTCTGGAATATTAAGAAAGGCAAGGTTAATGGGGGGAAAATTATAAAATGGGGTGAGAATGAAGGAAGAAAAGAGGGTGCCTACGTCTTCCAATTTGAGGAGATGAGTTTATTAACTTTTTTCATACAAAGAGTAAAGGGAGGACTAAATGCACAGAAAACAAAATCAACTGAAAGAAAACAAAGCTTTAACATTCAGATAAACAGTGAAGAATCCCATGGAATGATGGCTGACTAATAAGACTGCAGGATTTTTAAAATCTTATCTCTAGTAAAGGAACAACTAATAAATCCAAGGTGTATATAATACGGTTAAAATTCCCCTTCTTGTGTGTAGGGTTAACCTGGCACAGCAGTGAAAATACTATGGGGGTCCTTTACACAGAGATGAGTGGAGCGTGTTGGGTACACTGAGAATTTTGGCACAAACATATATGGATAGTTCCTTTTTCCTAGTCCTTATCATGCTTTCCTCTATGGTTGTACTGTCTGTTCCAGCCTCTGGTAGATAAAGAGGATTCTTCAGGAGACAGAGGTAAGAATTAGAGCTGTGAAGTTAGCTCAACGTAGAAATTATAGCGATCCGGACACTAGATAAACTTTAGAGTCTTAATTAAGAGGTTACCCTTACCCTAAAACTTGCACATACCAATTGAAATATATACCATTGTTCCCAAATTGTATTTGACCTCAGCCATGTCAAATACATGGCCAACAAGCCATGTGGGTGGCTTGTTGAATAAAAATAAACAGATAAGATACACAGGTGTATGTTATGCAAGTATGACAGTCTAATTTCTTCTTTCCAGTTAATAATAAACCTGGAGCTGGTTTCTGTACATTAGAATGAGTAGAATAAACTATAATGACCAATTATGTTTCTCTTTAAGGTATGAAGAATTATCAATATTAAGATACTGTGAAAAGCTTAGAAGTTGGTAATGTAGGAATTACTCGGAACAGGCTAGTTCTATTTCACAAGGTGGAGTCAGAGCCTATGTTTTAATGAGAATCTTTCTCATTCTTGCACCCATTTAGAATGTGCCCATATTTTTGCCTACATTCTTATTATCTCCTCCAGGTCAGATGGTAGTTCCAATGAGAGGATGAATGCTTTCATGCTGCTTGCAGCTTTACTTTTACAGTTCAGAAGTACTTATGTGTCAATAGTAAAAATATCAGTTCAGGGGTTTATAAAATAACTTTTTCCCCCACAGAGAGCTGTTTAATGGGTGGAAGAAACATAAGGCATAAGGTCATATGGTGAAATTCATCTGAAATGAAGTATCTTTATAGCCAACAGATATGACATGGAAATATCTCAAGTGGTAGTTCCAGAAATGTGATGCCTCTGCAACAAGCCGCTCTGCAATTCCTGCTGCCATGCAAAATGATCTGAGTGTGGGAGAGCAGCTGGAAACTAGAATGCATGGCAGCAATGCTTTCAAGGTTGGGTTGCTGCCAGCGTCTCCTGGCACTGGCTTAGGGCTCCTGCTCCTGGAGTTCCCAAGCATTTCTGAGCACCAGTGCATATGGAAGCCACTCTAGCACCAATAGCTTTAAAAATCACCAGGGTATCTTGAGGCAGCTGTGAAAAATTGCAGCTGAAAGAAGCCAGTGAGGGTTCTAAGACTGGAAGTAGTCCACAGGCACTGAGAAACCTGTTCTGGTCAATGCTTGCTTACCCACCTCAAATCATGTAGCTTTTTGCTCCTTATTTCTATTTGTCCAGTTTAGCAGTGTGGTGTTTTTTTTTACAAGCTTTTCTAGTCATCCTGATTTAGGTGTGGAGGGAATCTCTCCTTAAGTCTAAGTAATTATATGTAGCAGTATGTTTCACTTCACTCTCTTTCTAAATTGGTAACTTCACCTTCAGATAAATAATAATGCATTAAAACATCTCTTCAGTAAATACATATATTATTTTAAATTATGAAAATCAATGCAATACTAAAATAAAAGACTGAAAAGAATAACCAATTGAGATTACTTTTTTCTTCCACCCACAAAATCTCAAAATAGAGGCATAAACAAATATGCCTTAGGTATCCTTAATTCATCTTCTGAGAGGAAGAGGAAATTCTATTTCACACCAAATATTTGCTTTTCACAGACTATCTGCATAAGAAGATTTATTAGAGCTAATATGCTTTTGTATTAGTATTTGACAATATGATAAGTTATAGGTGACAAGAAATTCCTCGATTCCTAACATTTCTCTTGCTTTTATTGAAAGATGCCAATCTCCCTAATCAACCCCAAAAGGCTGTTAAAATAAATAAGTAAATGAATATGAAGAACTCCCTATGGCTTTTGCCTATTTCATCCTTGTTTTGTGCTGTAAAACTACATCTATCTCTCTGACCAGGTAAAATTGATGTAACTATGTTCATACAGGGCCAGAAAGTTAATGAAGCTGCTTGTGACATTGCAAAAGAAGTGGCTAAAGAAGGTGATGCTTTAGTGGCTGGAGGAGTCAGTCAAACACCATCATATTTAAGCTGCAAGGATAAAGCAGAGGTCAAAGCGGTCTTTCGAAAGCAGCTAGAAGTCTTTATGAAAAAAGATGTGGACTTCCTAATTGCTGAGGTAAATCTATAAAAAAAAATACCCCTTCATTTCATATAGCATGTAAACTGTAGATGTCTAGTCTTTTCAGGAAAATTTAGTACATATTGCTTCTTCCTTGAAAATCTTCTGCCAAACTTTACTCTAGTAGTATCAGGTATTTTTGTAAATACATAGTGGGATATTGAAGTCTTCTAAATTTCTATCTTAAGTCAAATCATGTACAAAGAGGATAGGTAAATGTGATCTTATTTGTGTCCTTATTTCTTTGTGCTTGTCTGTAAGCAGCCAACCCATGATGACAATTCTTTAGAGATAAATTCCTAATAAATGGGCACTCTTATTCTGGAACAAAAAAATTTTATTTTTTGATTAATCTGCTGACTTTATTATCCTTTAACTGTGCAATAAGTGAATTCAATAGAATTTTGCTAGTGTAAATCAGAAAAGGTTCAAGTAATTTTCTCGGTGCATTTTGAGTTTGAATTAAAGTATTCATGCTTCATCTCCAAGGAAAGACATTATTCCAGTTTTACTTTCTTCTAGTATTTTGAACACATTGAAGAAGCTGTCTGGGCAGTTGAAGTTTTAAAAGAATCTGGGAAGCCAGTTGCAGCCACAATGTGCATTGGTCCAGAGGGAGACATGCATGGGGTGCCACCCGGACAGTGTGCAGTCCAGCTGGTCAAGGCTGGTAAGAATCTGCTTTTCTCTGCCCTTTAAAAATATGAAACCGAGAAAAGCCCTGAAACATGCAAATAAATGAGTGTGTATCTTAAGTGTCCTGATTACATAAAAAACCTCTTTTGATCCTGTAGAATAATTTCTATATGCAGTTTCGTAGAAAAGAAGTCTTGCAAAAATACATGTATAAAATGCAGCTATGGAACCCTTATTAAACACCAAGCTGGTATTAGGGACAGTACCCACAGGCAGCTGCTAGCAAGTAGAACAAATGCTAAAACTTTTCAAATTCTGGGCTTAGAATTATGAAATGTACAGTCAAGCCAAGCCCACTTTTTATTCCTTGCTCCTGTTTTTTGAAATTTCTGCAGTATAGTTCAAATCCAGAATGACAGAAGAGGATGAAAAGCTTAATGTTTTGTCTTTCACAGACAATATTTTTTGCAGAAAACTAAAGAAGGACAGAAGGCATGATGGATGATGCGAAAGTTTTATTATTTGTTCTAAACTATGCTTTCCTTTGTATTTGGAGTTCAATTCCAATGGTGGGACCTGTGTTAGGAACCTACTGGACATCTGCATATATGGCTGTACACCTATTTTCACTGATAAGACTTAACTGATAACACAGGCAACTGCATGAGGGTGAGGAATGTGATTCACCACAGTGGTTGGTCAGGAAGGCAAAGAGGAGCTCAGCTGAGATGGACTGGTCTGCCTTAGGAGAGCTGAGCTTGGTTTCAACACAGCTGCCTTGGGTTCAGGTGGCAGTGATACAATAGTGGTAGTAGGATAGTGTAGAGATGGACAGCTTTGCTTCTAGAGGGCCATGGCTAAGAACTTTCCCCTTCCGCTTCTGAAAGGTGAATTGAAAAATTATATTCTTCCTTCCAGGTGCTTCTATTGTTGGAGTCAACTGCCATTTTGATGCAGATACTTGCCTGAAAACTGTGAAGCTTATGAAAGAGGGCTTGGAGGCTGCTAAACTGAAAGCATATCTGATGTCTCAGCCACTTGCTTTCCACACACCTGACTGTGGGAAGCAGGGATTTATAGATCTTCCAGAATTTCCCTTTGGTAAGACATGAGCATCCTTTTTTAACTGTCTAATTTTCCCCTCCCCCTCAGTTTTTGGCTAAGCTGAGACTGCAAGGCTTCCTTTTGTGCAGTAGAATAGCCTTACCACCTGCAGTAAGGCTCCCCCCCGTATTCTCTTTGCTATTTGGCATGGTTTTTTTTCCCCAAAAAAACATATAATCTCAGTTATGTCATACCTTCATGCTTACTCTACTGGCTTCTCACAGAAAACTGTCCCAAATCCGTGGTCTTTGTTATCAAAAAAAAAAAAAAAAAAAAAAAAGTAAATCCCAAACTTGGGGAATAAATGCTACTTGAGAGGTAAGCAGGAATCAGAATTTTCAGGGGAATATCCAATGTGATTTCTTTCATGACCTATATTAAGGTCTAGCCTCTAACTTCATTTCAAGTTCAACTATTATAAGTCTTGCAAATACAAAAAAAAAAAATAAAAATCAAACTTTTACTCCTTTTTTCACTGGAGTGATGCTCATATGATACAGATGGTGGGCAGAACAAGGCTGTTCTTCACAGAACCTTGTGCAAGGCAGTTGTAAAACAGGCTGAAGACATGAAATACAGTAAGGACATTAAAAACATGACTTCAAGTGCCTTTGGAAAGCTCCTTGGCTTTCTGGGCTGTGATATCTACCCAGATAGTCCTATCCTTTTTAGAAGTCTATGCATTTAATGTACAATGTATATACAGAACTATTTTATTAATATAGGTGCATGATTATTGCAGCTTGTAATGATTCAGTCATCCAAGTGTCGTAGTTTGATACAAGTAAAATTATAGGGAGACTGCAGAAGGGAATATGTTCTTTGTTGCTAATAAATGGATTAGCAATTTTGGAATTAATTCATCACTAATATGCTCAGAAAAAAAATATGAAATATTCAACCACTTTGTCAGCCACTTTATGTGGGCTTTTGTAATTGAGGCTTTTGTATTTATGGCATATTTCCACGTGAGATCCAGCAAATCATGTCCTCTTAAAAGAAGACAAAATCAGCTAAAACATCTGAAGTTTATTAGAAAAAAAGCCTTCATTTTCAGATATCATGCACTTTTCTTGAGATCGTCTATAAGATACTGAAACTTGAGTTTTTAACAAAAATTTGAGACAGATACAATTTTTAGGAGAATCTCTTATCTTTGATCTACATAAAGGAAGAAAAGAGAATAAAGCATGAGCTTGAACACTCATTAGATGATAATCATAGAATCATAGAATCATAGAATGCCGAAGGTTGGAAGGGACCTCAGAGGTCATTGAGTCCAACCCCCCTGCTCACGCAGGGTCACCTAGAGCACGTGGCACAGGGCTGCATCCAAGCGGCTTTTAAAGATCTCCAAAGAAGGAGACTCCACAACCTCTCTGGGATAATAACATGTCTGGGTTCTGAAAATAGTCTGAGATATTTAAAAGTGTTGGAAACTCATTTAGTCTATTCATTCCTTTATACAACTCTTCTGCTTGCAGGCAAAAAGAAAAAAAAAAAAAAAAAAAAAAGATGCAGTAAGTAATCAACTAAATTGAAGGATTCACTGTTTGATTTGTTCTGGTGGTTGGCTCACCCATTATAAGCAATTTATGAGATCTTAGTTTTCAGAAATTTCATGAGTCAATTTGAGAAGCCTGGTTCAGTGAAGATTTTCAATACCCAGAAAGAGCAGCTCATCACTTGATGGCAGATAAGCAATTTGGTAAATCATTGTTAACCTGACCCAGTTAGCTCTGGTTTTTTGTGGAAGGTGCTATGCACAAAGAGGCATTTAGATATTTGGAGTGTACATAACCTCTGTACCTCTGTGGCTAAAAGACGTTGGCTAGGTTGTATTGGCAAACTGCACTGCCCCGATGCCAACAGCATTTATCTATTTTCAGAACTTTTTCTAGTTTTCTGTGTCTTTTTTGTTTTCTGTGTTACTGTAATTGCTCTTAAATGTTAACCAATGACCATGTTAAATGTTAACCATTTTTTTTTTCAAAAAATCCTGTCAGCTAAAGCCTGCCCTATTATCTCCAGAGTAGGTGCACAGAGGGGCTAAATCTAGGAGGAAGTTATAACCTTCTCATCAAAACTTCATGAAAGTTCCAATCTCTTTGCAGTAAAAATGCTCATACTGTTAAGCTCTAGATATTAAATTCTCAATAGGAAATTCAAGAAAAAAATCCAAGATTCAAATCTAAGAAAAGGAATGCTGTAGAAAGACAGCCATGGAAAACAATGTTACTGAATTTTTGGAAAGGTGGAGGGGAACATGATCTAGGTGGCAACTTCTTTTCATATAATGCTTCCTATCTTCACAACATGCACAGCCAGTCCTTGTGGTGTGGTCTGTCCCAGTCTCTTAGAGAGGCTAGGTGGTGCCATCCTTGCCCTCCTGAAGCACAAATGACCAATTGTGACAAGGTGGGTTATGGGGATGACTGTTCACTGTTCCCGTGGACTATTTAGTTACTAATGCATGTTTTCAAAAAAAGTGCAAGATGCTGCATTTTTTGTTTTTCCTTTTGCAAGACAAAGAAGCTTTGGTGGTTCATGTGTGGTTCACCAAAACTCCAGACCTGGACAGTTCAAAACCAGCTCAGTTCAAATATTTACATCTACAGCTAGATTTGCAAACACTGTTCAAATGCCCCAATATGTAATTCCTTACTAAAAATCTACTGAAATGAAGCTGGATGGAAATTTAAGCTATGAATATTCTTTTAGGTCTGGAGCCAAGAATTGTTACTAGGTGGGATGTTCAAAAATATGCGAGACAGGCCTACGACTTAGGAATTCGTTACATCGGGGGCTGCTGTGGATTTGAGCCGTACCACATCCGAGCGATAGCGGAAGAGCTGGCTCCTGAAAGAGGCTTCCTGCCAGAAGCTTCGGAGAAACACGGTAGCTGGGGCAGCAGCCTGAGCATGCACACCAAGCCCTGGGTCAGAGCAAGGTATGTGTGTGTCACCAGCGTGTGCTTTGCCCTGCCTTACGTTGCTCCATCCAACAGACCGACCTCACCAACATGGAGAGCTAAATACCGCTGTAACTGTTCCGTGCTAGTTGTTTTGAGAATGAAGTCTCAATGGAAGGGAAGAGGGGGCAGTAAGAGAGCTCCAAAAATCTTTAGCCCCCTTTAAATGAAGAATTGGTCATGAAGTAATCCATGACAGTTAAGGTAAAGTCAGATTTGTGTAAAACAGCTCCTACTAGGGAGTGGCTTACAGTGGTCCCGCTGAAGGATGACACGATGCATTTTAAATATGTAGCATTTCATTGCATGTTTTCATTCCTCTTTCTTTACTGAAATATAAAACGATTCTGTGAAAGTTAGCCAACTCTCTGCCATCTAAGCCACCATTATACTATGAGTTGCTGTAACAAATAAAAGTTCCCTTTCTTTACTTAGGGCAAGAAAGGAGTACTGGGAGAATCTGAAGCCAGCTTCAGGCAGACCATATTGTCCTTCACTGTCAAAGCCAGACGGATGGGGAGTGACCAAAGGAGCCAGAGAGCTGATGCAGCAGAAAGAAGCAACCACTGAACAGCAGCTGAAGGAGCTCTTTCAGAAACAGAAGTTTTAATCCACTGCAGTTGCCTAAATGTTAGAATGATTTATCTACAGGGCATCTCATGCTCCACCAAAGAGAATGAGTGAGGATGAGTATCCTGATAATTTATCAGTTAAAATGCAATGAGAGGAACTAAATGTAGACTAAATGTGATTACAAATTAAATATGTCGAACTTTGTCAATAAAATCCTTGTCTGGACTAATAGTTTAAAACCTCCCCAAAAGGAGCTTTGGATTCTCATAGTGATTGACCCACTCTAACTACTCTTCCTTACCTAAGTGTTTTTAAGTAGGTAGACACTGAAATACATGGAAAATTGGCTCAACTCACCAGTGAAAAAGAAAGAAAAAGCCATTTATAAATACTGTGACATTGGATTTCCAATCCTAGTCTGTTTTCAGTTTGGGACCATGAAGGAGCTCCCTCAGACCTCAGGACTTTGTCGAGGCACATTATGGTGACACTTCAGAGTTATCAGTAGTCACCTCTTTGGCTTCAAGAGAATAAACTGAAAAAGACATCTTGGAACCTGTATCAAAAGACAGGAAAATTAGAACAGGATTGTGTAGGAATTACCTACATGCAGGACTAAAATTCAGAATTTTAGAATCATAATTGTAATATCTGCACACCTTAAAACATAAACGCTCAAAAATAATAACATACTTCCAGTAAACCACTGTAAATTTCTGATGAACCAGCTGGCTTTGGGATATGTCACTTGAAACATTTGCTCATCTCAAGATTGTGTGTAATGACCTAAAGATTCTTAAAATACAAGGAAAATTACAAGAATTCTTGTTTCTAAGAGTTGTACAACATACCATGATGATTTTTTTTTTTTTTTTTTTTAGGAGATTGATTCAGTGTAGAAAAAGTTAAATGTAAGAAGACATGGAAAATACCATTAGGAAACAGATTAATCCACACAAGCTCAAAAAAAAACACCAACCTTGTCAAGATTTTTTTTTTTAGGAAGAACATGACTACCCTTGCAAACCATATATTTCCTTGGCTTATTTTGTGAAACACCACAAAGTTTAGATTTATCTCTAGAATCTCATTCACACCCTTTCTACCTTAAAGTAAATATGAAAAAATATATATATCCCTTCAGTCAGATTGTTGAAAGCTTTTGTTGGGCTACTTTTTTATGTGTAACCTGTGTCATTGTTGCCATATTGATATTCTGGAGTCCAGGAAACTTCCTAGTAAATGACACTTTAATAGGATACTTCTAATACCCTTTTCAGGCTGTTACTGGCTGATACACTTGAGAGAAGCTCATCTTCTTCCACCATGTTTGTAACAGGCTGCAACAGTTATTGCCAGGAGAATTTGCTTTAAAGCCCAAACCAGACAAATCAAGAAAGTGGATACTTTTAAATGCAGCTTATTTAGAAAGCACCTATATAAGTGCATTTGCACTACGTTAAATCTCTTTTCTTTCTAATTCTTTCTGCAAGTCCTACCTGCAGAAAGTGCAATGATACAAAATCTGCACAATAAACAGTATCTTTGATCACCACCCGAACGCACACAGCATGAATGAGGTGTGTTTGAAAAGGTGGCTTAAAATACATTCTGCAATTGCTAAAGAGGTGCTCTGGGCAGTCATTAGCAGCTTAGGAACTTCCAGAGGCCAAGGATGCAGCTGGACTGTTTGAAAATACTCCAATATTGAAAAAAAATCCTGTGGAAGCGAATATGAGATCATTTCACAAATCAGATGTTTAAGAATCATGGCATTTAAGAGCATTCTCCAATATGATTTTATGCACTTCTAGATATCCAGTTTTTTAAAACAGGACAAATTTTAGCAGTTATTAGTGAGGATAGGAAGCAATTTTTAAAACCTTTCAAAGCTATTCACAGTTTCTTTTATGTTCCATTTTACTGACAGGTATCATCTACCATACTAAGTTTTATAACAGATACCAAGCTGGAGTATATACAATTTCAGGGACTTAAAATACTAAACTTTGTCAGCAGTGGGTGATGTGTATATGTATAAATCCTAGAACACGCAGTCAAATCTGATCAATTACCCCACAAATTTAGGAATCAGAGACGGCATTTTAATATATTTTAGTCAACTCCACACTGGGCCAAAGTCCAAAATCAGAAATGAAAAGCAATTTGGGGGGAACAGAATTTGAGGCAATCAATGTGGAGGGTGGTTGCTAAGAAAAGCATTGTGATGCAGAATTCAAGAAAGGTAGGCTTGGAATAGGGAGAAGAACTGTGATCTTATCACTAACAAGTAATAACAAATACATATTGACCAAAACATGCTCTACAAGCTTTACCTGATATTGATGGTTGCTCCAAGAGTGTTTTTCAGCATTCATTCATTTGCAAACATTTGCATGTCAGCATTTCAATACCATGAAGAGATCAATGGAAACTGAAATGAAAGAGAAGGAAAATGGTGAAAAATTAACAAACTCTGCTTTGCAATTTATCTGCTTGCAAATCAAGAGTGCTAGAGAGAGACCCAACCTGTCCAGATCAGTGGTCTAGTCTTTGCTTTCTGGCAGCCAAGGTAAGAAGTGCTATGATGGATGTTATGCTGAGTCTCATGATCTTTTTTTTTATTTGCAATCAAACAAGAAACAGCAGGTCCACCAAGAAAGGACACGAGTGTAGTACAGCTTTTAGACATTCTTAAAGACCAGGCATATTAACCATTGTGAAAATATTAATCACAAACACTGTTAAGAGTAATATAAAGCTAAATTTCTGATAAGCAAAAAGCTGTATCGATAAAGATATCTTTTAGTAATGCTTTAATATATTAGACATTTCTCTGGAACTATATAAGCCTAAAGGTGCATTTGCTGATGGGAATTATTAACACTTCACAATACAGACTGTGATGCTTTGTATTTCATGAAACTATGCAGAATCATTGCCATTCAGACTGCCAAATACATATTGGAAGTAAATTTATGAATCTATTTCCTTGCTCAGGGATCAGAACATCAGTAAAATGTAAAAGAGCTTTCTCACAGAAACAAGTTTTATAGATATGTTATGTACAGTTACAGCATGATGTTAGAAGAAGCCTTGAAGAAAACCTTGCATGTTCCTTTCCATTATGTTATTTATTCCCTTTTGTAAAACGGCATTTCTTTGCAGTATCACCATACTACAGCTTTATGGAACACTAAAGATGCGTCCTATTAAGGCAAAAGCTCTGAAAATCTTGCTTCTCACAATGTGATTTCTGCTCAGACTAGTTTTCTGTATGATGTAATTATACTTTAAATACATAGGCTGGCAGAAATACGTGCCAACAGTGCCTCCTTGTGATTCCCTGCGGGGCTGAGGAACAAGGGAAACTGGAATCTCACTCAGACGGCTCCTCAGTTTTGTTTACGTTGACAGGCATTGGAAAAGCAACAAGCTCAGTCACACTTCTGTGTGTTTCTTAGAAAGGACATTTTCTTTCAAAGAATTGTCGAGGGTGAAGTTAGAAGATACTTAACAAATGTAAAGCTTTAAATATATCTAAACATTATCCTCTCCTTGACCATCTCAGCACCATTCTAAAGTCCCTGAAGTATTAGGATGCAGAGTTTCCAAAGTTTAATTCTCCATAGATAAGAAATTTAAATGGGTGTCCTTAAATCAGCTTCCTCATGTGCTCATCCTATGCAGTGAGTAATCCACAGGAAGAGACCCTGTGTGGTAATACTACATGCTATTCAACAGTGCATCTATTTCCCAAAAGGGCAGAATAAGCTGCTGTGACAAACACACAGAACTCCATCAACCACATCCATTTTGTTCCATGGGGCTTGAACTTGCCAGGTTCCTGCCTGCTGTCCTGTCAGGCCTGCCCTGCACCTGAACAGCAAATTGAGGCTCTACACTTCAAACCTTCTGCTGCCATCCTTGGTGCTTTCATCCACGTGAGAATTCTTGACGCTGACAAATCATTGTTATTCCTACTTTTATACTGCTACACCTATGTCAGTATGACTGGTTCTGCTGGTTCTGTTAGTCAAGCAGACAGGACTCTTTAAAGATAATTACTATTTGCACCACTGACCTGAAAGAAGATTTGCATTTGGTTTTTGGACCTGCAGCCACAGCTGTTCCATTCCATTCACACTGATAAGGCAGCACGAAGGGACAGAAACTGGATTAGCTCTGTTTTCCTGGAAACGGAGCAGTCATTTGCTTCATTTGGGTGGCATAAAGATGATATGCCTGATGCTCAGCCACCATCTTCTTCCCACATGTGAGAATATGGAACATTCCAAAGGTGTGAGAGCGTGGCCAGAACAGCTCGCACTCCAGTTACCTTTGGCTACAAAATTAAAATAGTTTATCAGTTTTGTCATTTAAGCCTGTGGAAAGAAGTCTGGATGGGAGTTCAGAGTAAAGAATTCCAGTCTGTGCATGTCCTATATTCATGCTGCACACAGTTGTTACCAACTGCCCAAGGTGTAGCAGCCTAATAACTAAGGCTCATAATTTCTTACTTCTGTTTTTAACCAGAATATTTACCTCAGAGCAGGTTGATGTGCTATGAAAAGCTACATCAGGAAATTGGCCTCTTGCTCTCAGCTGAGAACAGGAGGGAGATGAGTGTGCCCAAACACTAACTCTGAGCCCCATCCAAAACATGCAGGAAATGGTTCATCCAGAAAAGGAATTTGGCCCCTGCTTTTTAAAACTTCATGAATGAATGAGGCAGAAGCCCTCTGCAACCTTGATTATCTATTCTGTTCTCACTAACAGCAATAAGAGGCAGAAAAGCGTGAATCTGTATCTACTTCCTTGGTTATTAGCAGCTGTGCTTCCCACCCGGGGTGAGTGTGAAATACTAAACAGGCCCAAATTCCTGGCACGAGAAGCCCAGGTCAGCACCCGTCCCGGCGCATAACTGGGCGCCTAGGATGAAGGCAGCAGAGAACCAGGCCACGCAGGCACAGGCAACCACAGCAGAGCCAAGAGCAAGGACAGCCCGTGTGCACTGTTAAGTACAGCTTCACTCTTCACAGCTTGGTTTGATCTGCTGGCCAGAACAATGTCTGCTTTAATAGGGGGTCTGGTTAAGAAAGAGTTATTCATCTAAGGCATGAAGAGACTCCCGGGCAACACAGCCAAATCTATCCCACAGCTAGCAAGTTGCAGGCTAATAAATCAAAACTTTTCACATTCTCTTGTCCTAATATCTTGGCCTCATTCCTAAAAGTAGTGTCTAAATATGTGCTGTGCATATGACAGATTTACTTATGAATCCAATCCTGCAGGCGCTCTACAGCTGTTCAAGGTGCTCTGCACACATATCTGGGAGGACAGTCTCCAATTTATTTCTGTCTATGAGGTGCATGTATATCAAGCAGCAGAAATCACAGTAATTTACAGCACCATACAGTAACATATTAGCTACAATCTTCAAAATCCTCGACAAGCTGATACATGAATTAAAATATTAAAACATGTGATACTCACTACTCAATATTTCCCTACACATTAAAGACAGTAATATTTGACATGTGAAACCTGCTGCCCCTCAGTGGTTTCTAAAGAAACAACAGAAAAATACCCTCATATTAATATCAAGGATCTGCTCAGAATTCAGTGCTTTTGGTTAAAAAATAAACAAAATCTTCAAGAATAGCCTCATGCGAAGTAATAGTCTGCAAGCAGAGAACTGATGATGATGCCAGGCTGGTCTGCTTATTTACTGAGCCCAGTACCTGTCCCTCCTTCCCTCCAGTGTTTACTGTCATTGCTCACAGGGTGCCGATGAACT